ATGAACCATTGCCCATGTGGAGTGCTGGTGTCACAGGCAACATACCACAGCACTGGCCCCCTGAAAATTGATTCTTTTCTTTTTTTTTTTTTTTTAAGATTTATTTATTTATTTGAAAGAGTTACACAGAGAGAGAAGGAGAGGCAGAGAGAGAGGTCTTCCATCTCTGCTGGTTCACTCCCCAATTGGCCACAACGGCCGGAGCTGTGCCGATCCAAAGCCAGGAGCTTCTTCCAGGTCTCCCACGCAGGTGCAGGGGCCCAAGGACTTGGGCCATCTTCTGCTGCTTTCCCAGGCCATAGCAGAGAGCTGCAGCAGAGGTGAAGCAGCCGGGACTTGAACCGGCACTCATATGGGATGCCGGCACTGCAGGCGGTAGCTTTACCCGCTATGCCACAGCAGTGGTTTTACGCACCACGCCACAGCACTGGCCCCACAACTGATTCTGGCACTGCATCATGAAGCACTGGATGGACAGTCTTTCAAAGGTCGCTTTCCCCTCCAGCAGTCTTTGAACCTTCATTCATCATCTCTGATTCTCAGATTTGTCAGATCCCATTTTGCATCACCAGGATTATCTCCAAGATGATCCTGCAGGACTAAGGAGAAAAGCATCCCTCCCTCTGTCTGCTTTCCATCATGGGCTTGGAAGGAAGGGGACTGTCAGGAGAGAAGCCAGTGCTTGAACCCCTCATCCCAGGTGACCTGCTGAAGCCTCCAGCTAGCAAAGACACTTCTGAGGCACTGGTTTTCAAATTGTGAGTCTGCAAACAGGCAGAATCAGCATCATCGGGGCCTTGTTAGAAACGCACTCTCGAGCTCCCACCTCCTAAATCAGGAGCTCTGGCAGTGGGGTCCAGTGATCTGAATCACAAGGCCTCCAGGAGGTGCTGATGCACACTGAAGTATGAGGACCTCTGTGATCCACCAGCCGTTTGCCAGTCAGAGCCTTAGAGGCAGCTGTGAGGCCTCATCTTGACTTCCTGCCGTGGCCCTGGGGACACAGCACTGGTCACGGAGGGACAAGGCTGCAAGCGCAGCCCGAGGGTTAAAGGGCTGTTTTTCTTTGGTTTGTGTGTTTTTCATTGTGACCCATCAGAGGATGGAAAATTTCTGCCTTCTTGTTTTTTCTTTTTGAAATACAGCCGAAAGTCCAAAATAAATCTTTATTATTTGATTTACAGCAGTTACCAATATGATAAGTAAGGAACCAAGTTTCTTTTCCAGAGTTCTTTTTGTTTTGTGGAGGAACATTTCTGTCCTGAATGGCTAGGGTAACACACTCTATCTCTTTGAGAAAGAAAAACAGGGTCTTAATGACACTGCAACTTGTTTGTGCTTTCATCTTGTTACAATTGCAACATAAAAAACATGAATACCTCAAGTACTTCATACTTTTTTTTTTTTAAGATTATTTATTGGAAAAGCAGAGTTTCAGAGAGGCAGGGACACAGAGAGACAGGATTTGCATCCGCTGGTTCACTCCAAAGCCAGGAGCCAGGAGCTTCCTCTGGGTCTCCCATGCAGGTCAGGGGCCCAAGGACTTGGGCCATCCTCCACTGCCTTCCCAGCCCATAGCAGAGAGCTGGATGGAAGTGGAGCAGCCAGGACTCAAGCTGGTGCCCATATGGGATGCTGGCACTGCAGGTGGCAGTTTTTACTTGCTATGCCACAGCGCCAGCCCCAATGATAACAGTTTTTTTTTTTTTTTTTTTGGGTGCAGAAGACTTTATTGATGGTTTCATGACAAGGTAGGGCTCCCTAGGCCCCTCCCCTCCTACAGGGGGTCTGGGATGGAAACCGTGAAGAGGCAGATTCTCAGCGTGGTGGGGACTGAGTGAGGGCAGGGACTCCCCTGCGGCTGAGGGCCTCTCGTCCTCCTCTGGTGCTCTCGCTGGGGCCGGTGGTTTGAGGGCTCTTACTCCTTGGAGGCCATGTGGACCATGAGGTCCACCACCCTGTTGCTGTAGCCAAATTCGTTGTCATACCAGGAAATGAGCTTCACAAAGTGGTCATTGAGGGCAATGCCAGCCCCAGCATCGAAGGTAGAGGAGTGGGTGTCACTGTTGAAATCGCAGGAGAGGACCTGGTCCTCGGTGTAGCCCAGGATGCCCTTCAGGGGGCCCTCGGACGCCTGCTTCACCACCTTCTTGATGTCGTCATACTTAGCAGCTTTCTCCAGGCGGCAGGTCAGGTCCACGACCAACACGTTGGGGGTGGGCACACGGAAGGCCATGCCAGTGAGTTTCCCGTTCAGCTCGGGGATGACCTTGCCCATGGCCTTGGCAGCACCAGTGGAGGCAGGGATGATGTTCTAGGCGGCCCCGCGGCCGTCACGCCACAGCTTCCCAGAGGGCCCGTCCACGGTCTTCTAGGTGGCAGTGATGGCGTGCACCGTGGTCATGAGCCCCTCCACAATGCCGAAGTGGTCGTGGATGACCTTGGCCAGGGGGCCTAAGCAGTTGGTGGTGCAGGATGCGTTGCTGACAATCTTGAGAGAGTTGTCATACTTCTCGTGGTTCACGCCCATCACAAACATGGGGGCATCGGCAGAGGGGGCAGAGATGATGACCCTTTTGGCTCCGCCCTTCAAATGAGCCCCGGCCTTCTCCATGGAGGTGAAGACGCCAGTGGATTCCACCACGTACTGGGCACCAGCATCACCCCACTTGATGTTGGCGGGATCTCGCTCCTGGAAGATGGTGATGGCCTTCCCGTTGATGACCAGCTTCCCATTCTCAGCCTTGACCGTGCCATGGAACTTGCCGTGGGTGGAATCATACTGGAACATGTAGACCATGTAGTGGAGGTCAATGAATGGATCATTGATGGCGACAACATCCACTTTGCCAGAGTTAAAAGCAGCCCTGGTGACCAGGCGCCCAATGCGGCCAAATCCCTTCACTCCGACCTTCACCATCGTGTCTCGGGGACGCGCTTGCACTGCACGAGAAGAAGCGGCTGCCTGTCGAACGGGGCGGAGCAGAGAGCCAATGATAACAGTTTTTAAAAAACTTTTTTTTACATTGGTCTGTTATTTCTACTGTGCACAAGGCCATATTTTTATATGTTTTAATCATTTATACTTCAGAGAGGTAAAGGTTATTTATTGCCTTACAGTCTGAAACTACAATAAGAAAAAGTTGGGAGAGGTTTTTTTCTTTTTTAAAAATTATTTATTTAGGGGCCGGCACAGTGGCTCACTCAGTTAATCCTTCGCCTGCGGCGCCGGTGGCGCCAGGTTCTAGTCCCGGTTGCTCCTCTTCCAGTCCAGCTCTCTGCTGTGGCCCAGGAAGGCAGTGGAGGATGGCCCAGGTGCTTGGGCCCTGCACCTGCATGGGAGACCAGGAGGAAGCACCTGGCTCCTGGCTTTGGATTGGCACAACGCCAGCCGTAGCAGCCATTTGGGGGGTGAACCAATGGAAGGAAGACCTTTCTCTCTGTCTCTCTCTCTCTCACTGTCTATAACTCTGTCAAATAAAATGAAAAAAAAAATTTATTTGAGGGCTAGAGACAGGTAGAGAGCTCACATCCACTGGTTCACTCCCTAAATGCCTGCAACAGGTGGCAATAGGAACGCAGTCCAGGTCTCCCACAGGGGTGGCAAGACCACAACCACTTGCACCTCACTTTTGCCCCCCAGCATTGGATCCCTAGTAGCTAGAGGCTGGAATCGGGAGCCAGAGCCAGATCTAACCCAGGTAGTCACTCCATGTGGGACAGGGATGTCTTAACTGCTGTGCCAGACCTCCTATCCCAGGGAGATATGTTCTGATTTAGGTAAATCTCTTATGTCTTCAAATCCCTATGTGCTTTGAGTTTAAATTGTAAGAATAAACTACATATATAAATATATGTCATACATATTTTATATAAAAATGTGATTTTAAAATTACATAAAATTCATAACTATTGGGGGCCAGCGTTGTGGCATAGCAGGTAAAGTCACCGCCTGCAACACAATCCCTTATGGGTGCTGGTTCATGTCCCGGCTGCTCCACTTACAATCCAGGCTCCCTGCTTATGGCCTGGGAAAAGCGGTGGAGGATGGCTCAAGTACTTGGGCCCCTGCCATCCATAGGAAAGATCCGGATGAAGAGCCTGGCTCTTCGCTTTGTCCTGGTCCAGCCCTGGCCATTGCAGCCATCTGGAGAGTGAACCAGCAGATGGAAGATCTCTCTCCCTCTCTCTCTCTCTCTCTCTCTCTGTAAATCTGACTTTCAAGTAAATAAATAAATCTCTTAAAAAAGAATTCAGAACTACATCTAAAGTTGATTTCTCATTGGAGAATTATAACTGAGAAGGAGCAAAGCTTTCTGTAGCTACTTACTGGCTGTTGAACCCCCCTACCCAGAGTTTACCAGAGTAATATTGGCAACTTGGCCAGTATTATTTATGTGTGACTTGGGGGAGGTTGCTAATCTTTGCCTAAATAGCCCAAGTGCCATACAGAATATTGCCACCAGAGCTATTATTGTATACCTGTGAAATACACCAACATAACATCTACAGCTGATGAAATTTTTATGTTATAATTTCCTAATCAGCAAAACATTTATATTTTAAAACAGCACCAAGCTTAACACTTTAAACATAGTTTGTGTATCTTATATATGGTATAGTATATTCGTTTTCTCTTTTTTTTACTTGTTTTTTTCAGATAATATCTTTTTTAATTTATATTATAGTCAAAGCTTAATGGCTCTGTTAAATAAGGAGTTCAACAAATAAAAAGTACAAAAACCATAATGCAGCAGGAAAACAGGCAAATGAAAAGATAATCATCTTCACTTATATATGTTTTAAAAGAGTCACAAAATCATTACTACTATAGTGGTATTTAATTCCTATCAATTTGTTGGACAAATATTTCAAGCAAAATTCGGCAAAACACTGTATTTGCAACAGAACTGCTAGTTGTCTAAGTGAGCTGCTTCCGATAAAATGAAATGTAGAACTTGCAGGCATTTCTCAAACACTCAATTTTCTTTCTTTTCTAGGAAATTGTTTTAGATTATATGAAAGAAATGCTTCCTCCTCTCTAAGGCTCACCAGAAACTCCGATTTAAAGAGAATAACTGGCTTTTGCACCAAACCACAAGAAAGTTCTAAAGCTTCATCCAGTAAGTTTTTTTTACTGATTTTTCTTCCATTTATGGAGTAGCTAGCTCCCAAAGAGTAGGATAAGTTGGAATGAAAAGACCCATGGGAGAGATACGCTAGGGCTTTCTACTTCACACCTGTCATATTGTTCAGGCCTCCCAGTTTGTACTCAGCTTGAATGTGCCCATGTGCACAGTGGCTTGTTTTCCTCACTTGTCATCTTCATCTCTTGCTTGAAGGGTTGGTTGGATTGGAGCTTTATTCAGGAGTATAGATGCACCAAAGTGAATAGTGGTCTAGAAATTTATCTTGTAAGGAACCCCAGAAATGAAACCCAATCAAGGGATTAGGTTTTGAGTAAAATATAACCAGAGCCAAGCTCCTGCTTCACCGTTGACTTTGGCCATGTCCAGTCCTATCCCTAATTCAAACCCCATCACTGTCACCACCATGGGAAGAAGGGGCATATAAGGAAACCGTGATCTGGGATGATTTGGCTGCTTCTTTGTGGGAGTTCACTTGGGCCAGGCAGGTCTTGGTGAGGGGGAAGGGACCATTCCTAAAGAATATTCATCAAGGGGTTTGCATGGTGGGACAGTGTGTTAAGTTGCCGCTAGGACACAAGCACCCCATATTGGAGCACTAGTTTGTGGCCCAGCTTCTCTGCTTCCAATCCAGCTTCTTGTTAACATGCCTGGGAAGACAGGAGAAGATGGCCCAAGTGCTTGGGCCCCTGCACCCGTGTGGAAGACCCAGATTGAATTCCAAGCTTCAGCCTGGCCCAAGTGGAAAAATTAGAAATAAATCTAAATGTCAAATAATGAAGGTTGGATCTGCTGACAATGAGATGTTATCCAGCTCTTGGAAATGGTGCTTACAAATACCATGTACTAGTGTGGGAAATGTTATAATGTTAGTGAACAAAGCAGGATAGAAAACTATATTGTAAGAAGCACATGCACGATATTCACATATAAAAACTAGACGTAAAGTCACACCCGCCCATGTGCATGGAGACACTCTGGCGTTCTGTGATCCTTAGCTTGTCTGCTCCTTGTCTGCAGTGACTTCCCCTTACAGTCTGCTTCTACACTTTTCTGTTCGTCCACGTCCTTGGCACGGTCCATTTCCTTCTGCTGCCTCTCCCTCTACCTGTGCCCTGCTTGGCCTCACACTCTTCCTTAGTGCTGTGTCAGGCTCCCCCTTGCACTGCTGTTGATCTCTACTCCTGCCTTTCTGATGAAACCTGCTTGGGGACAGATTCCCTCCAGTCAACAAGCCCAAACCGCAGACGTGCGCCTTCCTCCCATAACTGGTTCTTTCCTCAGGTTTCTTTTGGTTAACAGTGCAACTGTTGTGTTACTCATTCAAATTTGAGGTTCTTTGTTGTCTTAGTCTCTAGATTCTTTTGCTTTGAATTATTTTCCTTTTATTTGAAAGGCAGAGAGAACGAGAGATCATCCGTGTGCTGGTTTATGCCCTATACTTTACAACAGTCAGAGTGGGCCAGGCCAAAACCAGGAGCCAAAGACGTAGTCTGGGTCTCCCACGTGGGTGACAGGAACTCAAGTGCTTGAGCTGTCATCTGCTGCTTCCCAGAGTGTTACATTAGCAGAAGCTGATTGGGAAGCAGAGGAACTGGGACTCGAACCAGACACTCTAATGGATGTGAGCCTCCCCTGCTGCACCAAATGCCCACCTCTCAAATTCTTTGTATCATTCTCAGATTAGTTCTTTAAATCTCTGCCCCTTATTAAAACGCTGGTGCAGAAATTATAACCTAGCCCTTGTATTATATCCTCTTGTTCCCCCATTGTGTCTTCCATCCATTCTACAGGTTGGTCTTCCTAAAACATGAACTTCTTTGCTTAAAAATGAATAGTAATTCCCAAATCAAGTCTAAACTCCTTCTCCTAGTATTCAAGTTCATTTATACTTTTACCTTACAACCTTCATTCTACTGGTGTCAGCTTATTTCCTCACTGTCCCCTGCTTATGTCATCCTTACCTTCATATGTTTGTTTATTGTATTCTTTCAGTTTCAATGCTGAGGGCTCATATTGGGAAATAATGCTTTTATTTTACCTCAATCCTCATGAAAATTTGGAATTTGATTTGAAAAACAAGGCATCCTGGGGCTGGCATTATGGCACAGTAGGTGAAGCCACTGCTTGCGAGTCCCAGCCGCTCCACTTCTGACCCAGATTCCTACCAGTGTGACTGGGAAGGCAGCAGAAGGTGGCCCAAGTGCTCGAGCCCCACCACCCAGATGGAGTTCTCGGCTCCTGGTTTCAACCTGATCCAGGCATGGCTGTTGTGGCCATCTGGGGAGTGAACCAGAAGATGGACGATCTCTTCCTGTCTCTCTCACTCTCTCTCTGTCATTCTGCCTTTCAAACAAATAAATATTTAGTAAAAAAAAAAAGAAAAAAGAAAAATAAGGTATCCTAAGAAATTCCATTCCAAGGAAGTTCTAATAGCTTGAGGTTTCTCTTGTTTCTGTTCAGTGATTATCGAAAAAGCACAAGTAGTTTTTTTTGGCTACATTTAAGGGTCATCCTGTCAAATAAATATGAATTCCTGTCTGGCTTTTCTTACAGACCCTTACAGCCACAGAGTGCCACTGCACAAACCTACAGATTGGGAGAGGAAGATCCTCATATGGTCCGGTCGTTTCAAAAAGGAGGATGAAATCCCAGAGACTATCTCGTGAGTGTTAAGCTTAGCACTGTAAACAGCTTTCATTTCCCACTGATCTGTTTCAGGGGCAAAACAGTTCTGCCACATCTGAAAACACTTGCACAGCCCTAAGGCTTCATCTGTGGCAAGTGGCTGGGGTGAAGGCAGTGCCGGTACCCGGCCTTGCCACGGGCTGCTAGGTGGTGACTAAGGGAGAGCTGTCAGCACCTCTCAGATCTACCGCCTGTGTAGCTACAGACGTGTGACGGAATGTAGTTTGTTTTTACTCTGGGTGTAACAATTAGCTCACAGTCACAACTGTGTCTACAAGATCCGTTGGCCTTAGGCATAACAATATTTAGATGCAACACACTTCCTTTCTGGGATTCAGGAAGGAGTGCTGCCTTCCATCCCCATGTTTCCTTCAGCCCAGTTCTGGTGGGCGTCTGGGACTTCTCAGAGTTTGTAGCAGATGAGTACAGGTTCCTTGCACCCAGGGTTTCTCAGCCCAGCACTGTTGACACCTGGGGCCAGAGAGTGTGTTAGAGGATGTGCAGCATTCCTGGCCGCTGTCCCTAGACTCCAAGAGCCTTCCCTTCGTGGTGACCATCAAAAATGTTTCCAGACGTTGCCAGGTCGCCTGGAGGGGCAGAAATCACCTCCCGTTGGGAGCCAGTGCGCCAGCCTCGTGCTGAGGACCCCAGCTGGTTGGCTTCTTGGGCAGGAGAGAGTTTGAGGGGTAGATGTTGTTTCCCCCTGGGGTCCAGAGGCAGGGACCTTGGACAAAGCTCCGGGAAGTTCCCTTTCATCAAGAAGCTGTTCTTAGACCTGGCTTCCTGACGAGGAAGCTCTGGGTTCATTCTGGATCTCTTCTGGAAGACCGTGGCGTGTGCTTCCTGTGTATCACGGCTTCTGGAAGTCTCTCAGCGGGAAAGCCCCTGTCCTCCTCAGCCCTGGGGCAGTGTCCTCTTCTGGGAAGTGGAGCACGTGCGACGTAACGGTGACGCCAAGCTCTTGCCTGTGCCCTGGTGTCCTCCTGACTAGCCCAGCAGGAAGAGTGAGTACAGGTTGAGCACCTCTAATCTGAAAATCCAAAATCCAGAATGTTCCTCAATCTAAAACTTTATGAATACCAACATGGCACTGTTCAAAGGTTAGAGCATTTTGGATTTCAGATTTTTACCTAAGGGATGCTCAAGCCGTAAAATCTACATGAAATTCCAAGATCTGAAACAGTTACGGTCCCGGGCAGTTCAGATAAGGGGGATATTCAGCCTGTACATTCCAGTGGTCCTAATAGATGCCCTATCGACTCTGATATGGAACACCTCCCTTGTCCTGCCTAATGGTTGGCTCCAGGATCCCCTCAGGCCCAGAACACTGCCTAGCGAGTCCTGGAAGACTTCCGCGAGCCTGTGTATGTCCTTGTGCTGGTAGCATTCGGAACAGGCACTGAAGCTTGCTGATCCTCACTGCAGCCGCACGGTCCTACTTACATGCATTTGCTCTCTGAATGTTCCCTTACATGTACAGCGCATCACTCTTCCTGAGGATTACAGCACACACTTCAATTGGAAATACCAACTCAGAAAATGCTGTCAGTCTGGGCAGTTTCTGGTTGGTGTGCTCTCACAGGCTCCTACCTGAGTAACTCGCTGCCCTTCGTGTTGCCCCGGCTTGTACCCCGCTGCAGGCTCAGCACCATGCCTGGCGAGCTCACGGGCCCCAGCTCTTACGTCACATTGCGTGTGCTCTAGGGGCCTCCTCCTACCCACCTCAACAGCCCACAGCCTCTGCCTTCCTGCAAGCATTTTTAAAGAACTTTTACCCCCTCCTTCCCTCCTCCAACTGTAAAAGTAATACAGGTTAAATATTGGGAGAGGGGGAGGGTCATAAAAAAGCACCCTAATCCCATCATATAATCTCTTCCTATTTACACCTCCGCTGAGGAGAAGTTCTTTATTCTGGGCCCCATTAAGGCTGCACATGGCCTGCCTCACTGAGGCTCTGCCAGGCCGGGTAACAGACCCACAGTCCACCTGCAGAATCCACCAGCAGGGTAGAGTGGCCTCCTCTTTGGCCTTCTCTTCCCTGTTAGACCTTCTAGCTTTCACACGGGAGTGATGATGCAACCACCACGTTGTGTTATAGCACCTGGGTCTGTATTCAGTAGGCAGGTTAGAGAGCTGTATCTCAAGGTCACTGTCACTCGGTTTTAGCAAAACATTCATTAAAAGGCAAACATTAAGGAAGCATTGCTTAACAGGCTCTTCTACAATTTATTCCTGGTTCAAGACAGAGAGCCAAAAGCTGGCTGGAGATGAAGGGTCTTCAGAAAGTTTATAGGAAAAATGTAATTCAAAGGTAGGCTTTTTATGATGCCAAAAAAATAAATAAGTCTTGAAATCCATGCATAGTTTTTCATAGTATGCATTTTCCATGAACTTTTAAAGACCTTGTGTACAGAACATTAACTCCTGTGATTTTTTTTTTCTTTCTAAATTGAACTCTGTTGAAACTTACAAAACTCATTGTAGTATCTGTCATCAGGGCATCGTTCAGTTATCACATCCCATAGTATCGTCTTAAGGAGAAGCAGCCACTAGTTTCACTTCTGGTGTTGCTGCCGGGAGGCTGAGCCAGCACGGGGCTCACCAGAGCGAGCATGGATTAACAAGCCTGCCTTCTCCTTCCTTTACGGTCATGCCCGACTCCACTCGGTCTTCCCACCTTCTTCTCTTATACTACAGCTTTACGCTTGTGCTGTCTCGCTGTATTTTGTAAACAGTTATGAAACGTCCCATCCTCTCTCAAGTCCTAAGAAGTCTCCTTTTGACCTCTTTTATCTGTGTCAACACCACTGCACTTCTGATCTGGGACCTCGGAGAGAAGGCCGCAGAGTTCCCTCACAGTGCCCTCACAGTGCCCTCAGTGCCCTCACAGTGCCCTCAGTGCCCTCCCAGCGCCCTCAGTGCCCTCACAGCGCCCTCACAGCATCCTCACAGCGCCCTCAGTGCCCTCAGTGCCCTCACAGCGCCCTCACAGTGCCCTCACAGCGCCCTCATGGCGTCCTCACTGCATCTTTAGGTTCGAGATGCTGGATGCCGCGAAGAACAAGCTCCGCGTGAAGGTCAGCTACGTGATGATCGCCCTGACGGTGGCAGGCTGCATCTTGATGATCATTGAGGGCAAGAAGGTGAGAGTGGGCGAACTGTCTTCCTGTTCTCCACGAAGGACCTGGGGGAAAAGGGATTGGCCCTAACATTCACCCTCTGGGAAAAGAAAAGGAGGCTACTTTCTATCGCAGAAATGATAAGAAACGAAGACAGACAATGTAGGAACACACGAGGGATATCCTGATTTTGATTAAATTCATATCGTGTAAAGGATGAAAAGTGTTTATTAGGACAGATGCCATACATAAGATGAATACATTGCATTATTAAACAGCATATTTAACACCTGCATGTTTATAAAGCCCTCTCAATGCAGGTTTATTTCTCCTCACTAGAACTGCCTTAATCAGAGTAAGCATTCTAATCATGGTTTTTTATTTGATGCTCACCAAACCAGGCCATACGTCTAAGGGCCATAGCTCCTAAGTGGTGCATAGGAACCTAAGTGCAAAAATCTTTGGTTTAATGCAGATTGTAATTCGTAGCTATCACTGAGCACACACTGCATTCCAGGTACAGTGCTGGTGTTTGCCTCACTGGGTATTGTCCTCGTGACAGCACTATTAAGACAGGTGCCATCATTAGGGCCCTATTTAGAGATAAGGACAACTTTAGTTACATGCCCAAGGCCACCCATCTCCCTCATGACAGAGCCAGAATTGGAACCTAGACCTGTCTCATTGAGGGAGTGGTCAAGCGGCTCCCATTCACTGAGTGCTTACTATGGAGCAGGTACTGTTAAAGTCAGTTAACCACCACAGTACCCTAAGAGGTGGGTTTTCTTATTTCCAGTGTTAGAAAAGAGGCACCTTAAGCTCAGTGATGTTAAGAACTTTCCCCAACCTCTCATAGCTAACAGTAGCAAGGTGACCTTTCAGGCACGAGTTTGCAGGTTTCCAGACTTCGCGCTATATTACATTGTCATTAAGATGTAGTTATTTTTATATTCAGCAGCACTGGCCAAATCCTTCTTTTAATACCATGTATAATTCTATATATCATAGCTTCTGTGTGGAAAGATTTGTCTTTTAACTATTATCAGATATTAACAGGGTTCTCCCACACACCCGCTGTTAACTCATTTCCTTATCCCCAGTGGCTCCAAAGAAAAAAGGAAGTGAGCTTTTGGCTCCCTTTAGTCTTGCAGTGAAATGGAAATACTGACCATTTTCGGCTGACCTCAGTAGAGTACAAAGGGGCAAGTGTGCTGACCTGGGTGATGTTCTCTTGAGAACCCCATCTTGTCGCCCTTCTCTGTCTCCCTCTTTGACCTCTTATGCATAGTTCTCAGAAAACTCCAGAACCATGTGGACAGGATATATGGGTTTCTAGAAGTCCAAGCAGTTTGCGTTGCTTTTTAAATGCCTGATTATCCTGGCCAAGTGTAAGTACTCAGAAGCAAGTTATTTCCCTGGGATCCCTTCTAGCTTCGCTTCACCCAGGGTATATACCATCTCTAGACCGTAAAACCGTTACCATCTATCTCTTCTGGAATTTGTTTCCAAAAAGCTGGCAAATGTTATTGGAGGGGCACACTTCTGAACTTACTACAATTCAGATCGGAGAAATTACCAGTGTATGTGTCACCTTCCCCTACGGCTGCTATTTCCACTCCTCCCCCTCCCATACCAACTTCTTCACACCTGGAATCACAGAGATCTAAGGAAATACCAGCTCGAAAGGGTGCTGGTGCCACTTATTTGGAATAAAAATTCTCGCCCTGGTCTGTGATGTGAGCCTCTTGTCATGTCACAGTTGCTGTGGAAGGAGAGGTTGGGTGCCCTTCCCCCCCGCCCCCCGTGTTTGCTCCCAGAGGATAGAGCTGGACGGTAGATTCTGCAGGAAGTGACCCATGGTAGCGTTTTTGGTAAAGTCTGGGGTTTCCAACAGTGAAGAACTAAAAGGATGTGAAAGTGTGAGCAAAGGAAGGTGACAGGAGAAAGCAGGGATAGCAATGGCAACAAGAACGGATGGTACACAGAGAAGGTGGTAGGAGCGGACGCCGGGGAAGACGGGAATGCAGTGTAAGGAAGGAGAGCGAGGAAAGAGGTGTGGCGCCTCTCCGGAGCTGGAGCGGAAGGCCCTGGAGCAGAGTGCTGTCCCAGCAGCAGAGCCCTCCCTGCCCACCCTGTCCGCATCACAAAGACATCCTCCCACACCAGCACAGATAATCACCTGTTCTGATTTGTTTCACCATAGGCCGCCAGAAGAAATGAGTCTTTAACAAGCTTGAACCTGGAAAAGAAAGCTCGTCTGAGAGAAGAGGCAGCTCTGAAGGCCAAAACAGAGTAGCAGAGGAATCCATGTTTGGCTGGATTCTGACAATCCAGGAATCATGTTGCAGCACCAAGCCTATGTTGAAAAGAATGGGGGATGAGGAGTCATTTCATAAATACATTTTGCACAGACTTATACCATTTCCGTATTTCTGCTGTAGAGGTACAAATAAATTTTCTTGCAGAATAACTTGTCTACTATGTTTTGTAACTTTGATCCAAGTACAATGCAGCCTCTTAGCTTTTTGGAGAAAATAAAGAGACAACTTACTTTAACTTCAATTCCTTAGAAAGTCGTGTATTGTCCTCATACCTTCCTTGTATTCCCATTACACTGTGACTGCTCTCCAGAGGCCCAAACGGCCATGTGTCCCCAGCGACCGGGAGCCTGGCTTTCAGCAGCCGGCCTTCAAAGGTGGCTCAGCTATGCTGGCAGCCAGAGGCACTGAGCTGGACATCCGAGGACTTCGAAATCCCAACTTCGTGGGATCCTCTTAGCTCTGTGGCTCAAGAGTTCCCTCCTGATCCCTTCCTGCCTTCTGAGAAACTAAATTTCTCAATCCTAAAAGTCTCCTGTATTTCCTTACTAATACTGCAGGACAAGCATTTTCCTCTACTGTGTATGTCACTCATTCTCTTGACTTTGAGCTACCAAGTTGTCTCCTATGTAGGTACGGTTGTTAGTTTCTGTTTCAAGTATATATGTGTTCTCACATGTCTCCTAAGTATCACTGGGTGAAAACGTGTTCTGGCCGTGGCAATGTGCTAATTACCTTCAGAGTTACAAGATTAAAAAGTCATAAATGTAGCTGTTTGGGAACTTGGTTTACTAAAAATACTTGAGTAGAATGTAACACACTGCCTGTGGCTCACAGTCTGGTGTTTGTGGTGCCTCTGTACACTTACAGTAATAGGATCTTGGCTTCTGCCTAGGGATCAAGTGCTTTGATTTTTATCATTTGCAAACTTATCAAAAAGCATTGGTTCTTATACATTAGAAGGTCAGTTTTCCTTGATTGTTTTGGGACACCTAAACAATCAAATAAGTAACAGAGTTGTGCCATGTTCACCTTTTGAAATGCATTTTAAAAGGCTGTACCTTGGAGATTCACTGCAATAAAAATGTTTTATTCAACTAAAGCTGACAACTGTTATTATGCCCCCAAGAATTTATACAATCACTTCTCAGGTTGTTGCATTCTCCATTTGTTAACATAGAGTGACAGTCTCATTAAGTGTTAAACATAACATCTCTCAGCCAGACCTGTCCCTAACTAATCATAGTTCTCCCAGCAGCCTCACTACCAGCCTCTTCAAGTAACTAATTATCTCATCCTCATATGTGTCAACAAATAAGATTTAATGAGCAACATCATAAGGTGCTGTGAAATACATAAGGAATAATGCAGATTGCAACAGGATGGCAGGCTCACAGGATGAAAATTGGTGTGCAGAATTTAAAAGCAATTTCTCTCCAGGACCCCTTTCTTCATGCCATCAGATAAGCATCTTGCTCTTACCATAGCAATAGCAGTAATAAAATGGGCAATATCAAAGAGAATTATCTTGAAACATTTCCAGTCCAAAATGACTACCACTGCAAAGCAGGGGCTCTCTTTGACATCAGATGACAGGGCAATAGTAAGCCTCCACCCTGCAGTGGACAGCCACATGAACACAGGAAACCTATCCCTTGCTCACATCCTGTGCATGATAATGAAGACGTGACCCGGGGAGGAAGATGAGTGCAGAACACCTTGAGCAAGGACCCACGGTGGAGCTCCCAGGCGCCACTGGTGTCCTCATGTACGCCATCACAGACATTTCCCAAATGACAGGTGAAACTGAGCTTCTCCAGGGATCAAAGAGGAATGCTGTCCTGTGCCTCATTCACCATTTGCGAGAATTCGATCTCGTGTATTCGCCTAATATGTTAATACAGTAAAAATGACGTCTTTCCATATGAAGAGTGTTTCCCTGGTTAGTTTTGTCGCTCCCCCTCTTCGTGGAGGAACGACACTAAGCCCTGCCTAGGCTTCATATCCGAGTCACGGCACCATTATGTCGCTCCCCCTCTTCGTGGAGGAACGACACAGGACCCTGCGCTGTTCTATCGTCTGCTCGGCCCTCCCCGGGTTTACTGCTGGTTCTTCCCGGGTTGGCTACTATCCCTTCCACCTCCGTGGAAGGGCAGTTCCCCCTGGCCGCTTTCCCCACTTCCGCAGGGGAGCGGCACACCGCCGGCCGGCTCTTCTCGGGGGCTGCACAGGTGTTCCTTCAGCTAGATGTTCCCCTTAGATGTTCCCCATAGATGTTCCTGGTGCATGCCGTCTCTCTCCTCCTTTATAGTCCTGCTCCGCCAATCCTAACTCGGCTGCCCACACGCCGAGCACGCCGCTCTCCTCCAATCAGGAGCAAGTCCTACAGTTTATTAGTTGAACTGGAGGCAGCTGTGCGGAAGCTGTTTACTTCTCTCCCAGCGCCATATTGTGGGAGAGCAGATGCATAGAATAAGTCTTAATTCCAGTAACTCAGTCCAGTCCGGGCTGCTCCCCACAAGTTTCAGTTAAATGACTGTCGGCCTATTTTTGGCATGCTTACCTAACTAAAGGTTAGGTGGGCAGAAACCACCTTCTACTTTATATTCCTTGTAAGCACTGTTTAACAAAGTTAATATGTGAGGCTATCCTTAGGTACTTTTGAGTTAACATAAATGACAGGTTGGGGAATTTATTACCAAAGTTTATCAAAAGCAAGGCAAAGAATGAATATGTGGTGTCATTCATTGTCATTCACCCAATGTGACTTGAGCCCCTTCTCTCCACACAAACCGACAATACAAAGATGACTAAGATACACTTCCCAACTCCAGAGACCATAACCAACTGAAAGCATTACAATACAAACTGGTAAATAATGCATTTTGAACTTTGTAACAGAAGCCATGGGAACAGGTAGGAAAACCTAATTCAGCTGCTAGCTGGGTTGGAGGCAGGCAGGAAGTGACGGCTCTGCAAGTGGCGATGAGTGAGCTGAGTTTGAAGTGTGGGTAGGAGACAGACACATTGTGAAGGAGAGCCATCCCACCAGCCTGACATTCCAGCTCGCCTGAAAATCACAGGGTGGCACAATACAGCACAGGAGAGCTCCTTCACCAAAATGCCAGACACCTGTTTTGGGTGTTCCCAAACCATATGGACTGTTCCATGCAATCATACAGGATGTCACCAAAAGTGTGTGGTGGCCTCTGACATATACTTCCAATCCACCATTATCGTCCCAGGCTTATGCCTGGAATTATTTGGAATTATTCCAAACTCCCCTGCTTCCCTCAGTTAACAAGAACATATTTACTTATAAATATTCCCCAAATACACTGGGCCTCTGTCACTGGGAGGAAGGAGACCACCCACATACAGACACCTGCGACGAATGCTGACACTCGAGATGACACGTCAGAGGCTCCACATTCTACACTTGCTTTCCCAGCTGGCTTTTTTTTTTTTTTTTTAAATGAAGAAGTAGAGGACATTGAGCGCTCCCACCCAAATATCCACAATGGCTGGGGCTAAAGCTGGAAACCCAATATGGGTCCCACATGGGTGGCAGGAACCTGATTACTTGAGCCATCACCACTGTGCCCCAGGGACTGCATTAGCAGGAAGCTGGAGTCAGGAGCCAGAGCTGGGATTGAACCAGGTGCCCTGATGTGGGAACTACTAACCTAAACACCTGTTCCTTCATGTCATTTTTTAAAGTTTGGGTTATAAATTTCAAAATTTTCAAAAATGTGTACAGAAATATAAAACCAAAGGGAAGAGAAACTGCCATCTTCAGTCAGGTGTTTTGTTTTGTTTTGTTTTTTTGTCACCTCAGCTCTACTGCGCAGTTCCCTGTGGGGTTCAGTAGTTACTCATCCAGAGTTTAATTGTTTTGTCATTTTCTAATGCTGCCGATGCAATGATGTTTTGTGTAGGATGACAAGCCACTGAGATTACGACATCTGTGTGACTCTGTAATTTCTGCACAATCTCCTTAGTTTGAAGGTTCCAGATGTAAACCAGGTTATCCTCTGAACCGGACACAACCCACTTCCCACCAGTAACTGAGAAACTGGCAAATACGCAATACTTCTCATTTTTATGCCCTGTGTATGTCTTCAGGCATCTGCCTCTGCTATAATCCCACAGTTTAAGAGAATTGTCCAAAGTCGCAGTGAGAATATATTTACCATTTGGAGAAAATGTTACAAAGGAGACAGGAGGGTTGACATCATCAACAAGCACTTTTAAACACTGACCTGATGCAGCATCCCAGATTCTACAGAGACCATCATAGCTACCTGACACTATCAAGGACCCACTGCAGTTAAAATGCACTGCAGACACCGGGTCAGAATGAGCACACAAAGTCTTAAGGCACTTCCCTGTTTTCACCTCCCATATTTTCACACTCTCGTCGAAAGACCCAGAAACGATGAGGTTGGACGCGGGGTTGAAATTACAGCAGAAGACATAATTGTTGTGCCCCTTCAGTGTTCTCCAGCATTTCCCAGAGCTCACATCCCATATCTTCAGCGTCTTATCATCTGAAGCAGAAACAAGACGACTGGAATCCGACGACCAAGCAACGTCTGAGATCTCCAGTCTGTGACCATACAGGGTTTTTTCAAGTTTTCCATCATATGCTCCCCAAATTATAATTCGTTTATCAGCAGAGGAGCTGGCTAGCCACTCTCCGTTAGGACTAAACTTGACCGACGACACCGCCTGCGTGTGTCCCGCGAGGGTGGAGCTGAGCGCATAGTGGGGCTTTGCAGGCACCTGCTGGCGCTGACTGGAAGCTGAGACTTGGGACTGGGCCTTAGCGTCTCCTGGCTCGTCTGTTGCCATGGCTCTGAGGCGTCGAGCCACAAGCGTGGCTGGGCGTCCGGCCTGAAACGGGCAGTCCAGTTTTGTCTTTCTGTCCAGCAAAGTGAAAGTAAAAACATCGATCCAAATAATTGTTTGTTAACGATTCTAATGTCTGGATCGTCTTAACTATGACATATACTGAATCAGCATCACGGTTTGGACTTCTTCTTCTTCTAGGTAAATACTTGAGAGAGACTTTTAAAAGGTTCCCAAGCGCTGTCGGCCAGTAGGTACTAACCAAATCGGCGGCCGGGCCGGGGGGCTGTCCCCTCAGCTCCGCACTGAAAACACCGCAACCCCCACCAGACCGACCAGGTCCTGGAAGATGACCGAACCGCCGCTCGGAGCAGATCGTTTCAGAAGCTAAAAGAAAACCGACATAGCCACCGGCATTGCGAGGCCCAGGCCGGCACTCCGCTTGCCGCAGGTACCAACAGGGCTCCGCGGCTGCCGTCGGTGAGGACAGCCGAGCGCACGCGCAAAGGAAGGCCCGCCTCCTGCATCACCAACTTCCGGGCTGAAGTGGCCAATGGCAAAGCGCCCAGGCCGCCACCTCGCTCGGGCCCCGGCTCCGTCAACACGGGACCCACAGGACCCACTGCCTGTATGGAAAGCAGGTTTATGGCAGACCGGCCTGGGCAGCAAGGAGAGCAGCGGGTCTGTTTCACAGAACACTGCTTTTTGGTAACGGCCCCGAGAAGGGGCTGCCTTTGCCCATGCCTCTTGGAAGGCACGCTGCCGAACGTCACGCATTTCGGAAGCGCGACGCGGGGGACCCCGCGTAGCGACGCCCGGATGGCTTTGCTCCTGCCCCTTCTAGTGGCAATGTGCAGACAGGGGAAGTGTGGCAGAACTTCTGCCTGGGTAACGACCCCGGGCTCAACCTGGTAATCGTTTCGGGAAGGACGTCAGAAGCCGTTCCGAGCCAGGGGCACTGAACGTGTGAAAGGGTCCTTACTGGGGGAGATGGGGGCAGTGAGCTGAGTGGCTTAGGAATTAATGCCGTGAAAGCGGGCAACCTATACTTGCCATTCAGATGCAAATTACCCTTACAAACAAAAATAGGTGTACCCCTAGCCAGAAGCCTGCTCCATCCCTGAAATTGCGCGAGAGCGGCAGAACGCTGTTCTAAAAAAAGCTAACGGTATTCTCCGTAGCCAAGTTTAAGTGAGAAGGCAAACAGCTTTCATGATGCTTGCTGTGCACACGCAAGTAAACAGCATTTGAAACATAAGGTTTCCTATTGTATCTTTATTAGGCATATCTTAATTTTTAAAAATTTAACTCCATTTTCCACAATTTGTTTAAAAGTTTTATTTGAAAGGCAGAGTTACAGAAGGAGAGATCTTCCAATCTCCGGTTCACCCAACAAACGGCCGTAAGGGCCCACGCTGGGCCAGGATGAAGCCTGGAGCCAGGACTTCCATCCTGGTCTCTCGCATGGGTGCAGGGACCCAAGCACTTGGGCCATCCTCCGCCGCTTTTACAGGCGCGTTAGCCGGGACTGGAACTGGCGCCCACATGGGACGCCAGCACCGCATGACCTGCTGTGCCACAGCAGCAGCCCCATCAGGAATATTCTAAAGGACACCTATAATGAATCGTCTTTAGGAAAACCTGCATTGCTTTGATTTCAGAATGGTTTGAAATTTACATAGACCTGGAATAAAGATTTTCGCTTTAGCAAATAGATGGTATAAACACTGAGGTGGTGAGAATAGGAGGAACAATCTTTAGAACATTTTGAACTCTCCCTAACTCTGCCTTTAAAAAAGAAAAGAAAAAAAAAAAACACTTGGAGCATTCATATCTAATCACAACTATTTTTAAGGAGTTTCTCCATTTAACTCCAGAGAGCTGGACTGGAAGAGGAGCAACCGGGACAGAATCCAGCACCCCAACAGGGACTAGAACCTGGTGTGCCGGCGCCGCAGGCAGAAGATTAGCCTAGTGAGCCACGGTGCCGGCTATGAAGTCCCCTCTAACGTTCTTAAGAAACTTCTTTCCTGCCGGCGCCATGGCTCAATAGGCTAATCCTCCACCTTGCGGCGCCGGCACACCGGGTTCTAGTCCCGGTCGGGGCGCCGGTGTCCCGGTTGCCCCTCTTCCAGGCCAGCTCTCTGCTATGGCCAGGGAGTGCAGTGGAGGATGGCCCAGGTGCTTGGGCCCTGCACCCCATGGGAGACCAGGAAAAGCACCTGGATCCTGGCTCCTGCCATCGGATCAGCGCGGTGTGCCGGCTGCAGCGGCGGCCATTGGAGGGTGATCCAACGGCAAAGGAAGACCTTTCTCTCTCTCTCTCTCACTGTCCACTCTGCCTGTCAAAAAATAAAAAAATAAATAAATAAAAAAAAAGAAACTTCTTTCCTTTGACGTATCTTAAAAGTTCAGTTCTGAGGCCAGCTGTGGTGTAGCAGGTGAAGCCACTACCTGCCACACTGGCATCCCAAATGGGTCCGGGCTGCTCCACTTCTGAAACAGCTCTCTGGGAATAATGGCCTGGGAAAGCAGTGGAAGAAGGCCCAAGTGCTCAGGCCCCTGCACCCATGTGGGAGACCTGCAAGCTGCTCCTGGCTCCTGGCTCCAGTCTGGCCCAGCGCTGGCCATTGCAGCCATTTGGGGAGTGAACCAGTGGATGGATGACCTCCCTGCAACTCTAACTCCGCCTTTCAAATAAAATAAATAAATCCTTAAAAAAAAAGTGTTGCTAGGAATATCCAGGTTTTCTCTAAATCTGAACCCTTCTCTAAATCTGAACCCACTTTTTTTTTTAAACAAAAGCACCAGGAATTCATGTAAAGAAAATCAAAGCTATGAATATAACTAGTTAAGTCTTTTTTCTTTTTCTTTTTTTTTTCTTTTTTTTGACAGGCAGAGTGGACAGTGAAAGAGAAAGGTCTTCCTTTGCCGTTGGTTCACCTTCCAATGGCCGCTGTGGCCAGTGCACCGCGCCTATCCGAAGGCAGGAGCCAGGTGCTTCTCCTGGTCTCCCATGGGGTGCAGGGCCCAAGCACTTGGGCCATTCTCCACTGCCTTCCCAGATTACAACAGAGAGCTGGCCTGGAAGAGGGGCAACCGGGACAGAATCCGGTGCCACGACCGGGACTAGAACCTGGTGTGCTGGCGCCGCAAGGCGGAGGATTAACCTACTGAGCCGCAGCACCGGCCCAACTAGTTAGGTCTTGTTTACAAGTAGTCCTAATGAATTAGGATTTGAATTTCAGTTTACTTCCTTGGGTGGAGGCAGGGGCATCGATGACTGTAGGAGCCAGGAATGCTAGTAAAACAGGCAAATCCAAAGTGGTGGAAACCATCACTAGAGACTTGCATTTGGGGTTCCCTAACAAAATTATCATACAGTTCCCTTTTTAGTGGTTTCTATTTTTGCTGCCCTTAATTCATTAAATAGGTGACTCGGAAATTTTCTTCTCTGTAGAAATCAGTGAGGTTTCTTTTAAATTTCCCATAAAAGTCCAACAGTCAAAAATCCTCATCTGTAGTTAGTTTATTCCCATTGTACCTCAGTCAAGTCTGCAAATATTCCAAATAGAAATGCTGCCAGAGAGGATGGTGTTTGGAGCAGAAATTAAGACAGTTTGGGACGCTCCCAACCCATACGGAGTGGCTGGGTTCAAGTCCCAGCTCCATATACAATTCCAATTTCCTGCTAATGTACATACACCCTGGAAGGCAGCAGATGATGGCTCAAGTACTTGGGTCCCTGTTTACTATGTGGGAGACCCAAATTGAGTTCCCAGCTCTTGGCTTCAGCCTGACTCAGCCTCAGCTGTTCATTCCCCCAAATCTCTCTCTGCCTTTCAAATAAATAAAAACAAAATTAGAAATGTTTAAAATAAATGGGGCCAGCGCCACGCTCACTTGGCTAATCCTCCACCTGCGGCACCGGCACCCTGGGTTCCAGTCCTGGTTGGGGTGCTGGATTCTGTCCCAGTTGCCTCTCTTCCAGTCCAGCTCTCTGCTGTGGCCCAGGAAGGCAGTGGAGGATGGCCCAGGTGCTTGGGCCCTGCACCTGCATGGGAGACCAGGAGAAGCACCTAGCTCCTTGCTTTGGATCGGCGCAGCGCGCTGGCCATAGCAGCCATTTGGGGGGTGAACCAGCGGAAGGAAGACCTTTCTCTCTCTCTCTCCCTGTCTTTATCTGCCTGTCAAAAAAAATAAAATAAAATAAAAATGGGGCACTTAAATATTTTTTAGTATGTAAGATCTAACTATGGTCTTGCAGTGATTCCTATATTAAGGAATGTCTTGACTAACACAGAAACTCTTGACTACCAAGTCCACTCCTCAGAAGCGAGCATAACAGATCCATGTTCAGATCCAAGTAGGAACACTAGCCAATACACAAAAACCCACTTGTCCTCACTATGGGGTGACCCTATAGTCACCCAAACTGGGACATTTTTAAAAGCACTAAAACAATGAACAGGTGTTAAGTGATATACAAATATAAACCATGTGCCCAGCAAACCAAGGTTCACTGCTGACTTCTGACTCTCTCCTCAGAACTGTAACTTAATCTTGGAAAACTCCAGCCCTTAGCTCTCATCCAAGCACACTCGGGCCAGACCCCTTTACTTCTGAGATCTGTCGCATTAAGGGGGGTATGGTTTAGATAGATTTCAGTTCTTACTACACCACTTTATATCCCACTATAGCCAGCTCTCTCCACCACCGTAGTCTCTGGGGTTTCTAGTTTCTCCTTACTCATCACTTTATCTTCATGCTGCAGCCACGTACAGTACACCCACTGGACTCCATTAGCTTCCTCTGCTTAAAAGGATATGGATGAGGAAATTTAAAGAGCAATTTTTATTTTTTTTTTCAGGAACAGTCCCATCACAGCAATGACTATATGTTGATTTGAAATTAAACAGTGACTTTTTAAAAAATGCAAATGAAATAGGGGTAATAGTCATCCAAGCCAGAACAAACTTGAACGCAGCAACTTCTCACCTCAGATGAAACAACTATAGTCTGCAGAAACTAACACTACGTTTTGCTACAAGACTTTGCTTTCAGAAAAAATACCGGGTCAGTGGACTCTCAAAAAAAAAAAAAAAAAAAAGGAAAGGAAAGTAGTCATGGAATGAATATATCAACTTTCTGTTTCTATCCGTCACTTAAATTGGAGGAATGGATAAGGAAAATGGTCTTGTGCAATACATACAATATGTAAAAAAGAAAAATCCCTGTGTAATAGCCTAAGACAACCACCAGTTTCCAGACGTTGGTTGTAATTTACAAACTTTTTTAACTTTTGCCAGAACAGACTGATGAGCTATTCTGGGTATATATACATAGATGAGATTGATTATATATCAGTTAGCCTAGAAAACACACCCATCAATTTTTCTAAGACAATTTTTGGTTTGCTTTTAATTAACAAACCTCTACTATGACAGTACTTGCTTCTGTAAATTTCAGTTCACATTATTTCTCCTGAAAGATAATTACACATCAACTTAGATGTTGAAACACTGACAATGAGTTGTAATTGTAATTTCAAACAACAGCATAAAGGAACTCCTCTGCATTTTCTTTTGTCAACAAATACCCTTTACTATATCACATAGATGCAAATGCCTTCATTCATCTAGTATTCATTGAATGTCTACTATGTCCAAGGCACTCACTCATGGCCTGATGGAATGCATTCAAACACAAAGAATCACCAGAGCCATTCCAAATGAAAGTTACCAGAACTCTTTGAGAAAGGACATGGAGTGGTCAAAATGACTTGAGGTGAGCATAAACTAACAACCAATATGTTAAAAGATTCTATTAATTTTTGATACTCCTTTAGGAAGTAGTAGGCTGTATTAAATTCACATCATGGCACTGCTTTCTAAAGCAGTTTTTCATTCCAAAGCCTATCAATACCATCTATATTTGCATTTGAATGGAAACTTGTTTCCACTAGTTTTGCCATTAAGCAGATATATTCAATCAATCACTTGAATATTAGTATTTTTAACCCTGGTTGTTGTAGTTAACTGTCATTTAGAATTTTAGCACCAAAGGAGAAAAATGTTCGGACTGAAAGGGCCTCCACCTCAGATTATGTAACCTCTACCTCATTCAGTCACTTTAAGGGTGCTGATGATGAGGAAGGAAGAATGTTTAACAAAAAAGAGGCTAGCCCACCTGTGGCTGCTCAAAGTGTAGTTCCAGGAGTACTTGGGCACAGAACTACCTACTGCGTTACCACTGCTTCCTTCCAGACACAGAATATACAAAGGGCGAAGTTGTTTCTTCTAAGTCTTGATTTTTGTCAGACATAATACAGTGATAATTATCTATCTCAAAGAGCATTAAGAAAAAGAGAAAGCTCTTGGCCAACTACCTGGAATGCAACAGGTGCTTAAACAGAGACAAACTGCCTTTATTTGAAATAGATAAAAACACACGGGGACTTGGTCTGACCATACTCAGTTGAAAACAGAATGCCACTTTGTCTACTCTTAATTCTTTCTTCTTAACCCAAGTTTCCAGATGCATTTTATGTTCAAGAACAATCTAATATTTTTAATCAGCATAGAAATACTTGCTTTATTTTACCATGCATTACTCTGATGTCCTAGTACCTGGTATATTCTCATAACCTATTATTTTCTGCCATTAAAGTATGGAATACTCTATTACAATCAACTTGCTGTACCACACATCTGGCCTTCAATTTATCTTTTAATTACTTTTCATAGTAAGACAGTTCAAAATATTTCCCAACTGTGATGCGTGTGTGTGTGTGTATACATATATATCTCACACATTTAATTAATCTGCTCACCTCATAACATAAGGAAATGTTCCTATTAATTTAGATGGTCAAAAATCCAGATTTGAGACTTCCATATAAGCAAACCTATCTGAAAATGAGCAAATTTTAGAATGCAGGAGGTGTAGCATACAGCATACAAGCTGAAAGCAAACGATGCCCCCTTCTTAATGTCCT